TGGAGAGAGAGAGGAGAGAGAGACACATGGGCAGACAAGAGACAAAGAAAGAGAGACAGAGACAGAGAGGGCTTGTAGTGATCTTCGTTGCCACCGCGCAAGACAACGACCCCCCACACACACACACATACACCTTGCCATCGCTGGACCCCGTCCCCTTCCTCCCTCGCTTCCTCCCTCGCTTCCTCCCACAAGGTGCTGGAAAGGCTGATGGCGGTCCGGCACAAGCTGGCTTTACGGGTGGGGTTCGACTCTCACGCCCACAGGATGGCTTCCGAGAAGATGGCTGAGAACCCGGAGGAAATCGCGAGGTTCCTGGAGGCGTTGTCGGCGGGGATAAGGGACAAGGCTGAGCAAGAGGTTTGTTGGGGTTGGGTGCTGTTGGCTAATTGTTTTCGTATCGTTGTGGTTGCTGCTAGTGAACTGTTGTTGTTGTTGCTGCTGCTGCTGCTGTTGCTGCTGTTGGTTGCTGTTGGTTGCTGTTGGTGTTGCTCCTGCCATTGTTGTTGCTACTGCTGTTGTTGTTGCTGCTGCTGCTGCTGTTGCCGCTGCTGTTGGTGGTTGTTGTTGTTGGTGCTGTTGTTGCTGCTTTCATTGCTACTGCTGTTGTTTTTTCATCCTTCCGCCCCTTCTCCTGGCCGTTGTTGCTTGTCAGGCAAGCATGCTCCGACAGGCTAAGATGGAGGTGGAGGGGTCCTCGGAGCTGTACGCTTGGGACATTTCGTATTACATGGGATACGTCAAGTCAAGAGAGTGAGTGTTGATGATGATGATGATGATGATGATGATGATGTTGCTGCTGTTGTTGATGGTCCTGCTGGTGTTGTGTTGTCGTTACCCTTGTTGTCGCTGCTGCCTGTCACCGTCTTCTCTGAAATGAGCGTGTCGCACAGCTAGTCCGTTGGTTGGTTGGCGTTTACAAAAACTTGCGGCAACAAAATCTTTCGGCCACAGGAATGTAGTGGGTCCTGACCAACCGGACGCCAATGTTCGAGAACAATCATCAACCCTCAGCATAGCTCAAGTTTCCTGTTCTGTCTAAGGCGTCACCAAGACGGGTGGCCGTGACATAGCCGGAGTGCTTCCCGTCTCACTCCCCCCCAAAAAAAGAGAGGTGTAGAACAATTTTCTCTCGGTTCGATTGCTACACTTCATTTTTTCTTTGTGCTCTCTGCAGGTGCAACCTGAATGGGCTGTCGTCATCGGAACTCTTCACCCAACAACCGACGGACAGCGCCTTAATATGCAATAGGACTAAATTTAAGGCCGTTTCGTTTTCTTCTGTCTCCTTTCTTTTGTCGATACCTGCGTGCTTATTATTTTTTGTTGCTGGCTGGCTGGCTGTAGGTGCAACCTGGACGGGCGATCATTGTCGGAGTACTTTACCCTTGGCGGGTGTCTCGAAGGCCTCAGGATGGTGTGCAGGGGGCTGTTCAGCATCTCCCTCGAACAGGTGTGTCGACGCCATACACAAGACACGAAAGCCACGAAAATCACACCAATGACACAACAGTCCGTGCCGTGCCAGCAAGGGCGACACACCGATTCAACACGCAATCACGCACTCTAACGAAGCAGCACGAGGACACGTGGTCGCGAAGCGCAACTAACGGTGGCCCATTCGACAGAAATCGAGTGCAGCTCAAAGGGAAAAATTTTGTTCTTTCGAAAGGCCTTCGAGATCGTTCTTTTTCAGAAGTGTCCTGTGCCACCAAGGTAAGTCACCAATCCCCCTTCCATGGATGCGTTTGCTCAGGGGGGATCGACCGCCAGTAGTCTTCGTCACAGGAGGGGGGGGTGACACTAATACGACTAACCCTCTTCTTTCTATAGCGTATGCCTCCAAGATAGAAGGGTGAGGCATCTCGATCTCGTGCTGCAGGGTTCCAATACCCTTTTCGAGCCGTAATGCCTGCCCCCCCCCTCTACCTGAGTTTGAGCTCTCTTACGGAGTCGAGCGCGAACTAGGTGTGCCGAAAGAAGCAGTGGGGAGCTAGTTGGGGGCGAAGAACCCCCCCCCTCCTCATCACTACTGAACCCCCTCCCCGCAATTGGAATTCAAACACAAAGCAGGTACCTATTGAGCCGGGGGAGAATTGGGCAGGGAGAAGTGGGGGGGGGGTGCGGAAGCTTGTCTTGCGGCACGAACAGGAAGGGGTGCTGGGCACTATCTACCTGGACCTACACAGGTAGCTCTGAGATTAGCGTTTACACTTTTCTCTGTCTCTGAAACTCGTGCACTTACCCGCAGCAAAACGGACGGGGTCCAACGGGCGACGGTCAACAACGGACATTCACCTAGCGCTCGCTGGATGAGAGGGACGGGGATTTGAGGCTGTTATCGAAATCTGGGGTCCGCATCGAGACCCTCGAAGGCGGACCCGGTACTTTCTCTGGCGACCGAGAACAATTTTCAAACCAGCGGGTTTTCGTCCCAATTTCTTGAACGTCCCACCTCTTCTTTCTTCAGGGGGAAGTGACGCTGGGTAGGAAGCAGACCCCCCCCTCCCATTTCCGACCCCTCGACGTCCCCCGCTATACGCACTCTTTGTTCTTCGCATTTATTGAAGGCGGGAAGGGAAGTTTGGGCACGCGGCCCACTTCACGGTCCGTTGTGGGTGTGTCGCCGACCCGGGGGGGAGGGGCGACAGAAACAGCCCGCGAGGAGGAGGGGGCGAGAGCGGGGAGCTAGAGGTGATGATTCGTCGTCGGGGCGTGTGCTGGACGAGTTGGGCCCGGGGGGGGGGGGGGGAACGGGACCGGAGGGGCCGGGTTTGGGAAAAGGGAGGGGCCTGTATGTATTGATGTTTTTTTCTCCCCCCAAATCCCCCTTTCCAGTTTGTGACGGGGAAGACGCCCCCCTTTTTTTTTTTCGAAAAAGGGAGGGCAGTGGGCTTGTGGGCTTATAAAGGGGTTTTGTTTTTCCCAGGCGTGTTTTGGGGGCCCGAGGTTTTGAAAAAATGGAAAAACGCTCACCCCCCACTTTCCTTTGGCTCCCCTACCTT